CCCCATAGTTAAGAAGAGGCACTCCTGCCCCCACATCTCTCTAATGGAGATTTCAGCCTGGAGAGGAAGCAGGACTTATCCAAGGTCATATATACAGGGTCTGTACACAGGGGTCAGGAGGTGAGTCAAATATCTTCCCTTTGTGTCTCATCTCCACCAGAACCCAAACAAAAGAGAACTTTTTCTGCCTGTCATCAGGGAGATAGGAACATCAGCCTTCTACATCACCCTTGAGGCAGAGAAAGTCACCCCAAACCTGCCTGGGTTCCACACACAGAAATGAGAGCTGGATGTATGGTATTCTAAAGGATTGTCTAGGGTTGAGACCAGAGAAGTGAGGTGGCTTGCCCAAGATCACACAACAGCCTGAGACATCAGAAAACACAGGAGTGATAATGGAATAGCTTGGGAGGCTGGCTGTCATGTGCCTGGCTTTGGACTGAGCCTGTGAAATGCATTATCTCATCCACTGCTATTATGAACTCTTCTAGGGATCTGGTAGGCTGAAGCTGAGTCCTTTGCCCAGGGTCACACAGGGAGACTTCTGAAGGAAACGGGGCAATGTTGGAGGCCCTGGATGTGAGGGAACAAAGCATCATGTGGGGGTTGATTCTACCATGATAAAGAACGTCTTTAGCACATTCCTCCTGTGCAGACTGAACCCAGAGAGGTTAAACAAACTGGCTCAGGTCACAAAGCAAGAGCCCAACCCTAAGATGGCCAAGCAAATTGTCATATGATGATCCTAATCGATACCAAATTTCATAGGCACTGGACATCAGGCCTGGCCCATAGGGCCTGTCCTGAAAGCAATTCCTTGTGTCCCTAAGCTTCAGCCAGCAAACCCTATCTGGATGAGGCACTGCAGGGCTGCCATTCACCAGCAGAGGGCGCCATATGCGGCGCACACCTTTGGATGAGGGCTGAGGGAACCATACTTAAGCTCCGACTATGCCCCAGTTTTCTCCTTCGATTCTGAGGGAGAAACCACACCTCCTGCGGGAGGAAAAAGGGGCCCAGAGAGGGAACAAGATGTTCCTGGATGGATGCAAAAAAAAAAAAAAAGGAAAAAGAAAACTGTACCACAGAAATCCAGCAGGAGCACTCAGGATAGTCAGCCAGTGATTAGATTTACAAGCTGCCAGATATGGGACTAGAATCCTGGCTCTGACTTACCAGCTGCACGACCCCAGGCATGTTTTGTAACTTCCTCAGGCCTTGTGTCTGGTTAAGAGCACTGTTGTGAGGGTAGAATGCACTCTTGTGCGCAAAACCCTTCAAATGGAGCTTGACATCTTGGTGGGCCAGGAGGGCCAGGTGACTTGTCACTTGTTTACTGAGGGTCCTTTACTGACACTGTGGAGGCACAGAAGTTGCAAGCATTTTGTCCAAGGTCACAGAGTTATGGGCAAGGAATGTAGCTCAGTAAGACAGAATGCTTGTCTAGCATGCAGAAGGCTCTAGGTTTAATTCCAAAGGAGGGAAGGCAGCTGGGACCAAGGTCACACAGCTGGAGCTGGTAAAGCTGGAACCTCATCCAGGCAAACTGGCTCCAAAGTTATGCTTTTTTAAAAAAAGATAAATTTTTATTTATTTTTTTAAAAATTTTTGGTCTTTTTGAGACAGGGTCTCCCTGTAGCCCCAGCTGTTCTGGAACTCACTGTGTAGACCAGGCTGGCCTTGAACTCACAGAGATCTGCCTGCCTCTGCCTCCCAAGTGCTGAGATTAAAGGCGTGTGACACCACGCCCGGCTAAGATTAATTTTTATTTTATGTGTATAAATGTTATGCAAGCAATGCCCATAGAGACCAGAAGAGGGTGTCAGATCCTCTGGAACTGGCTTTACAGATGGCTGTGAGCTGACATGTGGGTACTGGAAGCCAAACCCCAGTCCTCCCTTTGTAAGAGCAGCCGGTGCTTTTAATCACTGAGCCATCTCTAGCCCCCAAAGTTGGGCTTTTAACCAGCATGTCATTCATTGATAAAACAGGCAAAGTACTGGTCATGCGATTAGACCAAATCATACAGCCACTCCAAACATATTCCATACCATCCTCATTTCTAGGAAAAAGTACCTGAGGCACATGAAGGCATTCAAATTGCCCAAGGTCACTTAACTAGCCTCTGTGTCCTGGCATCACACTGCTTCCCCCTTCATGGTAAGGCCCCGAGAGGTGCACACCTGTCCCAGTAGCAGGTGGACAGGGCGGCTTGCAGCAGGTTTGCTGGGCTGGTGAGCCAGGCTGCCTGGAAGTCTTTATCACTCACTCTACAGGGATTTCCTGGGTGCCCCTGGCTGGGGCCCTGGGGACTGGAGGGGTCCAGCCACAGCCTGGCGTTGGACATCTAGGGTGTAGGAAACAAGGAAGCAGAGCAGTGGCTTCCAATCCTTGTTGCATTCCACAAACAGGTCTCACCCTCTGTACTTCAGTTTTCTTATCTGTCACAAGCTTTCTGTGAGAACTCACTGAGACATGGCAATGACAGCACAGAGTCTGGCACCTAGCCAGTACTCAGCAGCTACACTGTGAGGGAAGGCTGAAGGAGGGGGTCTGGGAGTAGCCACCAAAAATGCAGCTCTGTCCTTAACAGTACTTCCTGGGCATTGTGGGACCTGAGTGCCAGACTGGCTCCTGGCATGGGATGTAGGGGGACTTCCAGCTGAAAGCAGCTGGGAAGGCAGATGGGTGCTGCCAAGCTGGCCCTCCCATCCCTCGGATTAAAAAGCCACCGCCACCACTGTCCCGCCTGCCTGTGACCACCCTTGCTACTAACTTCCCAGTCACCTCTGTGTGCAGAGGGCCCTGTGCTGGCTGCAGACAAGACTGAGAGAAACGAGGACAAGCTGGTTTGCAGTGTTGAAGGGCAGTCTGTACAGATTTTAATCTGTGACCATCCCAAATGCCAGAAGACCCAAAGGCTTGGAGGCTGGTCAGCCAGGCCGTTTGGGAGGAGGAGAGCTGCCTGGAGGGCCCATCATGTCTATCATTGCCAGAATTAGGCTTACAAAACCTTCCACCTGCTCCTTCATGGGGGAAGCCAAAGAGAAAAGGGCGTTCCAGGTCCCAGAGGTCAGATGGAGAGGGTCAAATGTGACTTGCCACTTCTCAGCTGGAAAGCTGGGAAAAGAACCCAACCTCTATTGTTCTCGTAATCAAAGGACAATGGAAACATTTGGTAATTAAGTGCCCACATGATAAGTGAGCTCGGTGTCTGTTAGGAACTCTCTGAGGAGCCCAGCCCCCAGGGTCCCCAGGGAAGGGGCTAAGATGAAAGGAGGCCATGAGATTCTGAGTCACATTGCTCTCCTGAAGCCCCTACAGAGTCCCCTGAGAATGCCCCAGGCTGCCATGCACCAATCACTCAAACACATGGCAGGATTTCTGGTTCACACTCTAGTAGAGCAGGTGAAGATTGTGTGTGTGTGTGTGTGTGTGTGTGTGTCCTCACTGGGGTCTCAGGGAGCCTTCTAGAGAGACACAAGGACCCTCCCATTGTGGAGCAGTGTAACATGCCACACACTTGACCCTGTTAAGTCTCCCTGAAACCAAGGCAGGTGGGTCTAGCTGGACTGTGATTCCCTTTAGCAGTATCTACTCATCGCACACCGTCTGTCTGCCAGGCAGGGCTGAGCGCACACACCCAGCCTTTCAGGACCTCGAAGTGCAGTGGGAGAGGCAGGCAATTAAATAATGTTCAGCACAGCCACTTTTTTCGAGCAAAAAAAAGTATAATACGAACATTTATATAGCAATTATTGTGCACTCTCAATTTCCTTACATGTAAAACGGGGACTATAACAGTATCTGTTTCCTATGATGATTAAATGAGTTAACGTGTTAACATCGAAGTTCAGGCGGCATGCAGTAAGTTTAATATAGTACACGTTTATCACCCATCACTTTATCAAGGATCCATCCGAAGACCCTGGACTTGGATGTCTAACTACAAGCTCCGTTCAAAACATTTTTAGTGACAGGTTCTCATTATGTTACCCGGGCTGGCCTCGAACTCCTGAACTCAAAATGACCCTCCTGCCTCAGCCTCCCAAGTAGCTGGAGCTACAGGCTCCATTTTGCAGGTAAAAGCGCAGAAGGCAGGTCGTGGTGGTAGGCGCCATTAATCCCAGCACTCAGGAGACCTACAGACAGGAGGATCTCTAACAGGCCAGCCTGGTCTACAAAACGAGTTTCAGGCCAGCTGGGGCTACATAGTGAGGCCTTGCCCCCCCCCACCTCACACACACACACACACAAGCAGAGATTTGTGTAGTGTACACTTAAGGTGGAAAGGC